CTTAGTTTCCACCAAATACAACAAGAAAAGAAAAACTCTGTATGCCGCGTCCCTTCAGGCCATAGGCGAACATGGCTCTCCACAAATTCCTATCCCTTGGGGTCGTTAACAATTTTATCCTTTTGCTAAGTCTACCGACCCCTGTTCCGCCATCCATTCACACAAGCTCGTCAGGTAAGTAACCTCCTTCTATCTCTCTTGCGTTCACTATGCCTCGTGAGGGCTAAGTTTTCCAAGCCCACCCTTCTCATTATGCGTTCAAGGAATTTCAGCTGTCTTTTCCTGCTCCTGAGTATAAGTGTTCTTTCTGTTGCCAGTTTCTTTCACATAACTGTTTCCCAAAAACTGCCACTTTGTGGAACAGACTCCCGCATGGGTGCTTCCATGAACATTACAATCTTGACATCTTCAACTCAGGATTCAATCCTTATCTGCCCTCCTTATCTCTATAATTTTCACTTCCTACCATTTTCTGTTTCATTCATATCAAAAGCTACCACTGTGGAGTAGACTCCCGCGTGGGTGTTTCCTTGAATATTATAATCTTGACTTCTTCATGTCAGAGGTCGATCATAATCTACTCTCCTTATCCATTTAATCTGCCATATTGTCTTTTATTCCTATAAAAGACTGCCACTTTGTGGAACGGGCTTTTGTGGGGTCGTTATCTTGAACATTTTTTTATCTTAACCTATTCAGAGTCAATCATTATCTACCATCCTTGCTGCCATAATATTAACTTCCTATCATCTTATCTTTCATTCATATCACATACTTCATTTATCATTACTATATCGACTGTAACACTTTTGCTTGAGGGTCTCTCAAGCCTTGTATTGGAGGAAATTTAGTCAAATACAAAAGGTTCGGTATGAAGTATGAACAAAATTATAGTGGGTGTAAGAAATGGATATAACTGATAAAAGAATCGAATAAATCGAGGCTAATCCCACCACACACACACACACACACACACAGGTTTATAAGTCACGGGAGAATAAGCTAAATTTTCTACAGAATATATATAGTCATCCACAGACAGACTGTTTCGCTGTATCACAACTCATCAGTGTAGCTAAACATCTGATTTTTTCAAGCCGGGATCGAAACCCGACCGATTTGGTATCAATCAGAGAGTCTACATGCAAACTATCGTGGCACAGAAAGAAAGAAAGAAAGAAAGAAAGAAAGAAAGAAAGAAAGAAAAATCAATCAAATTACAATTTAAAGCAACCTCTCTCCTTCTTGCATATGTGTAATTGCATCAGCATAAAAATCCTTTTAGTCCGATGAATTCCTAAAGAACGAAACGCAATACGCGAATAGTTTTCCACTTTGTCATAGATTTTTTCCTTAAAACAGTTCTTGATTATATAAAAATGTGTATATCGTTTCTCTATAGATTAGCAAATGAATAGATAGATAGATAAAGTCCGCAACAAGCTCGTTTCTCCAATAAACATGGCTAATTCGTAACAATATATATATATATATATATATATATATATATATATATATATATATGATAAAATATAGTTTTAAGGTATGGTATATTTCTGGGTTAAAGTGCTTAATATCAGGGATAGAACTTATGTCAATATAAAAAGTGGACATTGAAGTCAGCATCCAGAGGCGACAGTTTATTTCATGCTAAACGGAAATGTTAGGCCTGACGTTTGCGTTTAGCATGAAATAGACTGTCGCCTCTGGCTATTGACGTCAATGTTCTCTTACATACATACATACATACATACATACACACACACACACACACACATATATATATATATATATATATTAACTATACACGTGTACTCCATATATTAGCTGACATGTGGGAGACAGCAAAGATTTTTTGAAAATTACAAAATATTCAATTTCTTCAACCTTCATAGTGCGTGCTTAATATTGATTACTATATATATATATATATATATATATATATATATTAAGACATTTTTATGTTTATACCTTCTTTTTATAGATACAAATATTTAAGTAAATGCACTGTTTATAATAAACAGTATTAAACAACATTTACAGAGCATTTACATATTTGTATCTATAAAAGAATGTATAAAAAATGTCTTAAAATAATTGTCGGACTTTGTACATTTCATTATATATATATATATATATATATATATATATATATATATATATATATATATATATATATATATATATATATATATATATATATATATATATAAGCAATCCCTCTTTCATGAAAGTTTTGTTAAAAACGACTGTTAAGTGCCGTGGTTAAGTTTTTTATATATATATATATATATAAATTTTCATGTGTTCTTGTGACTTTTCTTTTCAGGACATAAATTATATAAAAATTGTTCAAACATGTTTATATACAAGCGCTTTTGGCTATACTTTTAGCTATTATCAAGGTGAATTTTATTTTACTTTTAATGTGATATATGGCTAGTTTTACATGTGTACCTAAAGTTATAAGAATGTTTCATTTTACAAACATGGTCATGTTGATACTACTGAGTGTTGGCTTTTTCTTTTTTACTAATAATACTTTCATTATTTTTAGCCATTTTTTTACATGTGGATGAGGTTATTTGTATTATCAATGAGTTTGTTATGAATACTGTTTGGTAGATTTCCGTGCGTATTTAAATGAGATCTATGTGAGTTATGGTCAGAGAGATGTAACGCCAGTCTTCTTGCTAAGCATGTTAAAATCTCGTACAGAAGGTAGCGACGGAGAGCAAGAAGAAGGGACTAAGCACAAACTACAAGAAGACAGAATGCATGGTCATCACTAAAAGGATGAACCCGAAATGTGATCAGGTCGGCAACTCTAGAATCGAGCAGGCGCGAGAGTTTAAATATCTGGGAAGCATTTTGACAGAGGACGGTAAGTGCGACACTGAGATCCGTAGATGTATTGGGATGGCCAAGGATACAATCCAAAAGCTGGGCAGAATGTTACGAGACAGGAGGATTTCTGTTGTAGAGTAGTTTTCACAGTGGAGGCTTGTATTTCGCTAAGTCGGTCCTAAAAAGGGTCCAACGTACTAAACGTTAAGAACTTGAAATAAGAGTTAATGACGCAGCAATCTAGTTGTGATGGTTGATACTTCAACGTCCGACAGACTCACTCAACTCCACTGAGCCCAACTGGCGACCGCTACTACTACTACTACTACTTATTATGAGTGGGAGAGTCTATTAATAATAGAATAGGTACGTTCAGGTATGACAATTTCTTTGGTAACAAAGAAAAGAATACTGAGCTGTTATATAACATCTGTCCTTTTTTACGGCAGTGAATGTTGTACGATTTCCTCAAAGATGAAGAAGAGACTTGAGGTGACGGAGATGTGGTTCTACAGAAGGATGCTAAGGATATCATGGACCGAGTGTGTGGGCAACGATGAGGTTTTAGAGAGGATGCAAACAAGGAGGAGGCTTAAACTTAACATCAGGAAGGGACAGGTGGAGTTTCTGGGACATATAATGAAGGAGTGCCTGGAGAATCTGATAATAAGGGGGTCGAATAGAAGGAAAGAAAGACAAGGGAAGCGTGACATACCTGACTGGCTTAAGCAAGCGGATGACAGAACGTGGTCTGAGGGATGAAGCAGAGGGAAGGAACTTGTTGAAAGCTGCAAAGGATAGAAGGAGGTGAAGAGCCATGATCGCCTACGTCCTGAAAGGACATGGCACATAAGAAAAAGAAACATATACAATATAAATATTTACGAATTTGGATTGGCCAGGAACACAGTTCCTTAAGGAATATGTGGATTCATAATTAATATAGGTTGTGTAACTTATCTATATAATATATATATGTGTGTGTGTCTGTTTGTTTGTATGTATAACCTGTTTAACGTATGTTAGAAAAAAGAAAGAAAACACTTCCACTTAGATAAAATTGTTTTTTCTCGTCCATATAATTGTGTTTGCGTGCGTATCAATCCCTATGAAGCGTGCCTATGCGTTTTGTATCGTCATAATACGGATAAATGACATAAGTCTTATATTAAATGGAAATAAGTGGACATATTTTGTATGAACAGACCGATAATGTTCTGCTTGTGGTACGAATGTAAGCAACGTTATGTACTGTATGGGAGAAAAAAATGTTCATATCAATGGCCTGTCATTACTGGTCGGGTTTGTAAAAAGAAACAACGTCGTCAACAAGAGCGATGACAAAAACAGGGGAAAAACGCCTCGTTCATCAAGATGGTCTTTTGTGTAAAGTCGGCAGACGCGAGCGACCAAGCAGCGTGGGGCCCAATCGTTGGGTCCTTTGCTGCAAAACCCAGTTGAATCATTACCTGATTAAATGCAGAAATAAATAAATAAAAAAGCAGGAATTGGATAGGATAGCCATTTTCACAACTGCAGAAGAGTTGGTTTCCTAAATTGTTATCGAATTGTGTTCCCAGGATGTTGTGATGAGAGAGAAAGAGAGAGAGAGAGATAGAAAGGGACAAAGAAAGAGAGAGAGAGTGAGAGATAGAGATAAAAAGTGAGAAAGCGAGAGAGAGTGTATAAAAGAGAGAGAGAAAGTTAGAAAGAGTGAGAAAAGAGTGTGAGAAAAAGAGTGATAGAGATAGTGAATAAGTGAGAGAGAAAAAGAGAGAGAAAGAGAGAAAGAAAGATGGATAGAGAGAGGGACAAAGAAAGAGAATTGGAAACAGAAAGAGAGAAAGAAAGATGGATAGAGAGGGGTACAAAGAAAGAGAATTAGATAGAGAAAGAGAGAAAGAAAGATGGATAGAGAGAGGGACAAATAAAGAGAATTCGAGAGAGAGAAAGAGAGAAAAAAGATGGATAGAGAGAGGGACAAAAAAGAGAATTAGAGAGAGAAAGAGAGAAAGAAAGATGGATAGAGAGAGGGACAAAGAAAGAGAATTAGAGAGAGAAAGAGAGAGAGAGGAAGAGAGAGGGACAAAAAGATAATTAGAGAGAGAAAGAGAGAAAGAAAGATGGATAGAGAGAGGGATAAAGAAAGAGAATTAGAGAGAGAAAGAGAGAGAGAAAGAGAAAAGAAAGAAAGATGGATAGAAAGAGGGACAAAGAAAGAGAATTAGAGAGAGAAAGAGAGAGAGAGAAAGAGAGAGAGAGAAAGAGAGAGAGAAAGATGGATAGAGAGAGGGACAAAGAAAGAGACTTAGAGAGACAAAGAGAAAGAGAACGAGAGAAAGAAAGATGGATAGAGAGAGGGACAAAGAAAGAGAATTAGAGAGAGAAAGAGAGACAGAAATAGAGAAAGAAATCTGGATAGAGAGGGGGACAAAGAAAGAGAATTAGATATATATATATATATATAAAATGGGAGATAGAGATGAAAAAAGAGAAATTTAGAGAGAGATAAAGTTAGAAAGAGATAGAAGAGTTGGGAGAATTGTGTGATAGAGAAAAAGAAAAGTGAGAGACAAAGAGAGAGAAAGAGTGACAGCAAGATATATAGGTATATATAAAAAGAGGGATGAAGAAAGGGAAAGAAAAAGAGAGATAGAGAGAGGGACAGAGAAAGCGAACAAGAGAGCGAAAGAGGGAGATAGAGATAAAAGGAGAGAAAGTGAGAGAAAGTTAGAAAGAGAGCCAAAAAACGAGCGAAAAAGAGTGATATATATAGAGAGAAAGACAGAGAGAGAAAGACAGAGAACGACAGAGAAATATATATATATATATATATATATATATATATATATATATATAGAGAGAGAGAGAGAGAGAGAGAGAGAGAGATAAAGAGATTGAAAGACAAAGAAAAGGGTTAACCCAGAAAAAGAGAGAGAGAAAAATGGCAACAGAAGAGGTCTTCTTTTCTGAATCATATCCGTTCAGGACGTGGGTGATTATGGCTCTCTACAACTTCCCATCGTTTGTAGCTCCAAACAATGTTTCTTCCTTTACTACAAGCTCATGTTCCGCCACCAATTTAAACAAGCTCCCTGGGTAGTTTGCTCGATGTGCCCCCTCCTGTTCCTCTTGTCTAGAATATGCCCGACGAGTGTCAAATTCTCCAAGCCTTCTTTCTTCATTATTATATAACCTAGACATTTCAGATTCTAAGTAGAAATTACCTTTTTGCTTCCATTTTCCCTAAAACTTCCTTGTTACTCACATGTTCAATCCATGTCATTCTCAGCATCCTTCTGTAGAACCACATCTCACCTGCTTCACGTCTCTTCTTCATCTACCAACTAGGAGGATCGATAGTTGAGCACTCTTATCTTTGTTTCAAACGAAGTTTTTGGAAGGAAATTTTCGTCATTCCAATTCTCTTGTTGATTTTTGTGTCACTTTTTACGTCGTCAATTAAAACACTTCCCTGGTCGATAAATTTCTGCATATTTGGGCAACTTCAGTTCTTAACTTGCGTATTCAGCCCGTCCCTTATGCTAATGGCCGTACACCCTGTCTTCTGACAATTAATAGCTATTCCTTTCTTCATGCTTTCCTTTACTACCATGTCGGTGCGATGGGTAAATTGTCACGATTTTATATTATTCATTTCTCGCATGCGCATTGGTTGTTTTCGATTTTGTAAATTGCACAGTATAATAAGGTTAATTGGGCACCTTCTGCGAGAAAAAGAGCCCCATCACGCAATTCACTCCGTCGAAATTTTGAAAACAGCATGCTGTACTACTTGGCATTCGCGCCGGAAGCGCCAATGCAAACGTTTCAGTGTGCTTGTGTGTCAATCTGAGGGCAGTACAGAGGATTCAGAAAAAAGTTGGATGAGTCTAATGGTGATTACGAAGGTACGGTAGTCGGAAAACTCACTCTGATCGTTCTGATAAGATAAGAAGTCCAGGATTTGTTGGTGAAGGTCTCAAGACTCAACAGTGAGGCCTATGTCAGGTGACTTGAGGAGGCACGGTGGAGCAGTGGTTAGCGGCTTGGATTGAGGAATCGCAGAGCCGAGTTCGAATTCCAGTCGAATCCACTGCATTCACTTACGTGCTAATACCCTTGGGAAAGGTATGTATCCTCTTCATCTCCCTCCAGCTATGGGTAAAATAGCAGGACAGACTGGGTTCTATAGCCTTGGATGGCAACTGGTCTAGGAGAAGGACAACTCTGAATTCAAAACCTGCGGAGGGTCGTTTGGGAACCTTGTGGCATGCATTCGGTGCACCAGGTTTCTGTATTCGTCCCTCCAAAAAGTGTGGCTGGTCCTGCACAAGGCCTTCACCACTATAAACAAATCTCATGTGCCGGTGTCGGGATGTCGGTTTCCTGGGGACTTATCGGCCTGACCCTCATACGTCGAACGCGACGTGAGAGTCGATTATTATATATATATATATATATATGTGTGTGTGTGTGTGTGTGTGTATATATATATATATATACACACACATATATATATATATGTAGTTTTTTTCTCGTTTCTCAGTCTGAGTATTCAAGAAATCATATTTGGAAGAAATCGAACTCGCTTCTCCCTTCGAAGATTCAACGACCCATAGACTATGCAGTCACGGATTTCGACGACGGTTAGCAGATGTCAAATAGTGTCTTTTAAACGCAAATCCTTTTCAAACTCCATTATAACGACGGTTTCTCCTGTCAAAGGTTCGAACCCTGCTGGAGAGCTCATATTTTCTTTAATAAAATCAAACAAACAGAAGGTCGAATCCTACCGTAATAGACGAAAATAAATATACTGTTTTATATATATATATATATATATATATATATATATATATATATTACAGTTCCTTTTTCCGGGTGCGATGGATAAATTGTCGTCTAAATTACGCAGAAATAAAAATAACTCTGATATCTCATTTTAACGGATATACTTACCAAAATTACACAAAAATATATTGAAAGACTAAAGAGTAAATTTATTTGATAAAATCGCCATTGGTTTCAGCCAATGCTTCCAGGCAACTTCGGAATCTCCTGCAACTCTTCTGGACCGACTCCCTTTTTAATCCTTGCCTCCAGTTCCTCTTTGTTGTTACAAGGAGTTTTGTTAGCCTCTCGCTCAACTGCGCCCCACACATAATCAAGGTGGCGTGCTGGCTGGGGTGTTAGGTGGTCAGATGTAAGAGGTGATGTCGTTGCAGTAATTGTCTGACATATATATATATATATATATATATATATATATATATATATATATATATATGTATGTGTGTGTGTGTGTAAAATATATAGAAAATAGGAAAGAACTCGTTAGATAAATAATCCAAAAGTTCTTTAGTATTTTTGTTATTATTTTAAAAAAATAGTGCTCGATACAAGAGTAGAGCATAAATATATTTATTTATTTAAAAATATAATTCCAAATCGCTACATAAGAGAGCGTGTTGGAATCATATTTTAAAAATATATATATATATATATATATATAGGAGAGAGAGAGAGAGAGAGATATATATATATATATATATATATATATATATATATATATATAGAGAGAGAGAGAGAGAGAGAGAGAGAGAGAGGGGTGCATCCTAAAAATGTAGTCACTGTTTAAATGAAAATAAATGCAGTATTTATTAATTGTTATTGACTTACAAAGAAGATTAACGGTTTAAATTAAATACTGAATGGATTGGATCTGAAAAAAAACAAAAACAAAAATAGGCTGTGAGTACCGGTATCCCTCGATTAATTCCCATTCAATTAATGAGTTTTCGATTAGTGTGCTAAAATCTTTATATACCAAAATTCGATTAGTGCATACATAATATTCGATTAGTGCCGTAAAACATTCTTCAGTTTAACCATAGTAACTGAACACTGAGATCTGTAGGCGTATCGGGATGGCCCAGGACACATTCCAAAAGTTAGGTAGAGTACTGCGAGACAGGAGAATTTCTTTGGTAACAACGGAAAGAATACTGAACTGTTACGTGACATCAGTCCTTCTTTACGGCAGCGAATGTTGGACGATTTCCTCAAAAAGCAACGAATAGAAAAAGCAGAAAGTTGCAGAAAGTAGAGAAAAAAACGCACGTGGAAGCTGATGAAATGTAAGAAGAAGAAATCTACGAAATATTTAAAAGATAAAAATGAAAGAAAGCAAAAGAAAAAGAAGGTAAGAGAAGAAAAAAGGTCTTTAAGAAAGAGCGAAAAGAAAAAAAAAATGGTTGGAACAGATCCGAGCAACCGGGAAAGAAATGGTGGACAGTGAGGAAGACCGGATGATACAGCTAAATAAAGATTATCCAACTGCATGAATAAGAAGGGCTGTGGACGGTGAGCATAAACTAAAAAGAAAGGAACTTAATAATCATACGGATGTATATTAAGCAGGGTTATACTGCTATTGATCTTCGAACAATCAACGGTGATCAGGCTGCTTACATCGTGAATACTGCAGTTCCTCTTCGGAAATAGGGAATTATCAATTATGAAAAAAAAAAAAAAAATTGCGTCAGATGATCAAAACATATTTTTGCGGACTCATCTATTTGTGCATGTTTACGTATATAAAAGCATTTTGGCGTTTTTATTTAAATGTTCACATTATTTACATGTTCACATCGACATGTATGAAACTAATTTTATGCCAACTTCAAGACGTTGGCGATCATATCTCTTCGCAATTTCCTATCCTTTTTAATTCTTAATAAATGTTGTCTTTTTGTTGTCTCTCTAAACATTGTTCCGACATCAATTTACTCTAGATCGCGAGAGAATTGATGCTTTGTTTTCTTCTGTCGCTCTTCACTCTGTCCTGTGAGTATCACAATTTCCAAGCCCTTTTTTCTCATTATGCACTCTAGAAATTTCTCTCTCTTTCTGACGTGTTATAAGTGTTCTTTTTGTTTCTACTTTCACTAAAACTTCCTCATTACTTACATGTTCAGTCTATGATATTCTGAGTATTACTAGAAACACATTTCTGTTGCTTCATGTCTTGTCTTCATCTGTGAGGCGATAGTGCAGCATTCAATGTCATATAGGAGGACTGATATAACAGTATTCTTCCCTTTGTTTCTCACAATCTTTTCTGTTTCTTAATGCATTGCATAGATAGTAT